ACTCTGTCTCCAAGAATGATCTCTGGCAGCCAAAGTACTGATCATTTGGTTCAGCTCGGGTGGAGTCTTAGTAAGAATATCCCCTCCTGGGCATAGAGACTCAATCACCCTCTGGCTGTCTGGGGAGAGAGCATTATAGAAGTTCCCCACTGTGAATGCATCACTAAAGCCATGATGGGGACACTGCCAGAAATATCCCATGTACCGCTCCCATGCATCACGAAGTGACTCATCTGGCTCTTGGCGGAAGTGAGTGATCTCCCGCTGTATCTCTGTAGTCTTCGATGCCGGATAGTACCTGTGCACGAATTTGTCAGCCAGATCGTTCCAAGAGGTGATGGACAATGGGGGTTGGGTCTCCAACCACCTCTTAGCATTCCCCGCCAGAGAATGGGGGAAGAGATGAAGGCAGATTGCATCATCCGGGACACCATTCAGTTTGAACCCGTTCGTCAGCTGCAGAAAACGGAAAAGATGTACCCTGGCCTCCTCATCCTTCAAGCCATGGAACTGGATAGAGGATGTAATGAGCTGAATCCAGCATGGCTTGATCTCGAAGTTGTTTGCTGGAATAGGCGGGTAGAGGATGACCGGGCGGATGTCAGCAATCCGCGGAGTGTAGTAGTACTCCAAGGTGGGACCCGGCGGCGGTGGATGATGAACTCCATGATCCTGGGGTATGGGGTTGTTCCCCAGGTCCTGATTCACCGGGGGAACCTGCTGAGGATTCCCCTGGTGCTGATTGTAGTCTCCGTCCATCCCGTACTCTTCTTCAGAATCGCTACTCAGGTGGCCGTCTATGCGCTCTTCCGTAGCCAGTCTAGCTCGCTGTTGTCTCCTGAGCTGGCGACAGGTGCGGTCAATCTCTGGATTCAACTACAGTAAACCTCCTGACTGGCTACGGGTCATGCACTACTGCACACACTCAAGCAAGCAAACCCGTGAAGGCACAAGTGGGACAAAGCAAACAAAGCGAAAAGAAAAGCTAAATTAACAGAAATCACTATTCTTCAACAACCTAGCCGTCCCCGGCAACGGCGCCAAAAACTTGACTCATTTCTACTGTCAATCCAGGTATTGGCCAAGTGTAACCACTTCCTAAAGCGTAGTATAGCGGGTTTAGGTTTAATTATCAACCCGGGTCCTAGATTTGATGACTACTCAGTGAATTCTTGTTATCTAGCAATGAAACTGGAATGCAAGTCTAAACTACCAAACAAACAAAGCAAGTAAACTGTTGTATTCAGGTTAAGAGAGGTCACCCAGATATGGTTCCCCCTAGACTACAGTTAAGCCGGATTGTAATTACCAAGTTCAGTTTCTATGATAGTTATACTGCGGAAGGTTCTCAAACGACCTGAAGTCTCGACTAAAGGTCTTCAGACCCTCTCAATCTGAATCTCTAGCGGGCGACTAACCTCCACCGGAGTAAACAGATTGAGGCCCTAAGAACAAAACCTCCACTACCGGAGTAAAACCGGTACAGAATAGTGAGTTGACTCCTCGACTAAAGTCACCAACTCCCTACCTTCAATCAAGGATGCTCTATTAACCTAGTCAGATATTCTCATTCTAGGTTAAAGCAGAAACAACAGGAATTTGATCAGGATTCAAGTCATTCAATCATTCAAAACTCAATCGAATATAACCGAATCATAGAATCAGTACTTGGGTTCATACAATCAAACCTAACATACAAATCTAGGGTTCTCCATACCCAGATGAATGGGAGAACTACTCCATGGAGAAAGAAGCAAAAGCAGAATCAGACGCGTAATTCATACTGTGAAGGATGGATTCCTGCTCCTGGATGTTGATCGGCACTTCTCCAAGCTCAAACTGGCCTCCAATGGTGATGAAGATCAAGCTAGGGCACTTGGAGACTCTTGTTCGTCGCTTTCTCTCTCTAGGAATCGTTCTGTCTCTCTAAAACTCGAATCCCCTCGACTTGTGGCTGAAAATCTGCTTAAAAGCAGAAAATCCCGACTCACACGGGCATGCCGCACGGCCGTGTGGCTCACCCAGTTGCCCGTGCGACTCCAAATGCAGCATATCGATTAGTTGAACTCCAGGCTTCTTACACGGCCAGGGTCGCACGGCCGTGCAGCTCACCTTGCACGGTCGTGCAGATTTTCTGCTCTGCCCGTGTTTGCTCTCGCACAATCCCACACGGCCAAACTGGTCACTTGCACGGCCGTGCGGGTTGTGGGTGTGCCCGTGCGACCTCCTTTGTGACTCGTCTCGCGCCCGATCTTCGCCCAATTGACCTCGAACTCGCTCCTAAACCTTCATTCACTTGCCAGGACCTGAAATATCACAAACAAGCACAACCTAGCGTGAAATCGGTCTAAAACACGAGAAACCACATCTCCAACGGTGTAAGAACAGGGGTGAATACATGTGTAATTAACGGTCTATCAACATCTCGCACCCTCATCACACGGTGGTCTCCTATATCCGGAGTTTGCTAGCGAGAGATTGGGAGGTTTCGCTCGGCCATGTTTTCAGAGAGCCAACTTTGTAGCTGATCACGTGGCATCAGTAGCCCACTCTTTGCCAGTGGGAGTTCACTTAGTTGAGAACCCGAGTCCAAGCTTGCACTATTGGTTGTACTTTGATTCCATTGGGGTTCAAACCCCGAGATCGGTTAGTTTATAAGGGTTAGAGCGCCCCTTTGCGCTCTGCTTATCACCAAAAAAAAAAAAAATAATAATAATAATATCATTGCCAGTCACAATGAAGAGAGAGCTCCCATTTTTAATTTCGAATTTCCATTTTGAAGAGAGAGAAATCAAATTTTTAATTACAAATATTTATTTTTTAAAACCTAAAATATTAATTCCGAATTTCCTCTATTAATGCATTTAATATTTGTTGATAATACCTTAATTGTCTTTTGACGATTAGACATATCCTTTCTCTCTCCTATTTCTATTGGCCAAAATAAACTTAAAAAACTCCTAAGTTTTTTACTCAACGACTGGATCCAACCCGTCGAAAAGATGAAACAGTACTTAGAACTTAGAATCGTTGATTTCTTTCTAATCGTCAGGCCCAGCTACCATATCATGCACCAAAGTGGATCCAGTTGTTCGGCTTCTAGTTGGGCCACGACCGCCGAACCTGCAGGCTGCAGCCTGCAGGTATCTCGTTTACCGGAATGAGAATCACATGAACAAAACCAGTGAAAGGGAAGAGGCGAAAGGTCGAACAAATGGCGTGGATGAATCCTTCGATCTTACTCTTCCTTTTCTTCTCCTCCTCCGCCAGCTGCTCCATCTCGGCAACTGCAGAGCTCCAAGCGTTTCCTTCGGACCACGGAATGTAAGCGTGAAATCTCGGGACGCATTGCTCTTCCTTTTTGTTTGTTTGATTTCGTTGTTTGGGCGAGCTTTCTGATCAGTCGATGTTCTTCCCCTTCTCTCTCTCGAGTTTGAAGCAATGGAAGGTTCCAACGAAGAGTTTTGCTTGGCTTTAAAGAAACGCCCAGCGGAAGTAACACAAGCTTTGATTGCGCTCCTTCCGGGGCCTGCGTTCCCTGCCAATACTCGGAGAAGGTTCGTTCTGCGTTAGTCTTCCCGATTGAAATTCAGTGTCTTTGGCATAGTTTGGTTTGATTTGGCTAATTCATTGATCTTTCCTTCTGATTTATGCTGAATGTGTGGACTAGAATTTCCTGGGTAAGATCTCTTGTTATCGGTTGAGATTTTATGCTAAAGTCTTTAACAAGCTTGGGGTTTTGTTTGTCCCCAAAATTTAAACAGAGTGAGCAAAAGTACAGATGCAGTGAGACTGGGTATCGTATCCCGTTGAAATGTATGGAGATCAAAGATGGTGCCAAGCTTGCAAAACAGGGAAAGTCCAAAAAGAATCGATCTGATCTGGAAATGTCTGCTGGTAGTGGAAATCTGGAGGCTTCGTCCATTGCAGGTAGAAATTTGGCTGAGGACTCTAAGAAACTAGATGGTGGTGGTGGATCACAGGCTTACATTACTTACAGAAGTTGCATACCGCCTGGCCTGCTGATGAAGAGAAGGTTTCAGTGCTTGGTTTTGAGGTATGTGAATTTCATTTCTGCAGGCATTTGAGAAAAGATAGGATGAAAAATACTATGAAAAGGGGGTGCGATGAAGATTGAACCAAATGGCATTTTATAGCTAAAATAAAAATGGACGCAAGGAATCGGATTCGTTGCTCTTGGGATGGGATATGTGAATTAGTTGTATGATGTATTCCTTAGGCAGCAACTCGTTTGCTTTTTTCTTTCTCTTGGACTTGTTTTCTGCATAAATGATAATTGTACATGTGATTCTTCTTTCTTACATGGTTGTTGCTTGGATTGCATGATTTTTCTTCAATATGTTACTTGTGTAGTTCGTTTTCGTAGTAGATTTTAGAGCAGAGTTGCCCATTTTTTCATGAGTGCTTCAAATGACCTGGTGAGAGCGTTAGAGACTTGAAGCATGAGTTTAAGCTAGCCTGGGTTAGATGCCTACAAACGTTATCCCTATATGCGTCAATTGGGGTTTAGGAAGAAGGTAGGCAAATATCTATCGAGTTGGATGACAAAGCATTCAAACTGAGGCCCTGACTTTGGTTCTCATCTTTACAATTTGGGATCAATGTTCTGGGTTCTCATCTTTTACAATCCAATTTGAAGTGCCTAACATTCTCTCTTTTCTTATCATCAAGCTAGATGTTCTGATATGTGAATTTTTGGTGCAGGGCATTGTGTTGTTCTTCTTGGTTGCAAGTGGTTCGTTTGTGTACTATCGAAAGAAGCAGACAGGAACAATGGTAGGATCCATATGAACTCTCGGTTTTGAATCCTTTTTCCTTTTGCCGTTCTCCTTGCATAGCATGTCCAATCCTCTTCCAAGCACTTCGATATACGTTCGTGTTTCACTGTAATTGTTGAGTTTCATGTATGTATTGCTCTCGTAGATAGTGTTTGCCTTTCAATGGACGATGTTGTAGTTAATGAAATCATCGGTACTCCACAGACACATTCTAATGCGTCCGAGCATAGTTTCATTATAAGATTGTGGAAACAAAGAATCACTCCTTACGGTCGATCACCAACCCCATTTTCTGAACACAACAAAATCTCCCTTTTAAGTACACTCTACTACAATACTGATTGCACCATCAGTAGTACAAAAGGCTGATCTCATATGTGCAATCAAACGAGAATTACAAAAAATAGTCGGGGGTCTTCCTCGTGGTGTCGGGTTCAATTTGGCGAGGAGCCGGGTCAAACTGCAGGAAATTCTGTTCCATATTCTCGCCAATCTCCAGGATTTTGCAGCCATGTTCCCACACCGGTAGCAGTAGTTTGGCGCACTAAATACTGTTACAACATTCTTCTCCTGAGATGGTAGATCAACCAAACCAAAGGTTTATCACCAATGACCAAACACTAAGAAGTTCACTATAGAATAATCAAATCTGAGGAATCCGTTCTCTCTCACCTGGGACCAATTGTAACCCTCCATAACAAGTTGATGAGCTCGTGAAATCAAGGTGAGCCCATTAGTATGATTGAAATGTTCAGCAATGTCCTGCCCGAATGTGTACCCAGCACCGCGAGGTGATATTCCCCACCCGCAACGATCGTCTGGATCAGACCATAGCAGATCGCACATTGGTTCTTCGTGTGGGACCTAGTCAGACCAAAAACAAATCAGACTAAACTATGGCATACAACAAGTGTTCAAACTAACTACAGAAAGATCTATGCCACTTCTAAGTGGCACATAGGTCAGGTTCGAAGTTTTGGGTATAACAGGTTTGTGGGTTGCTGCATTTTTCGACAGAATAGAAATGCTTGATGTCTAACGAGCATAAGATTGGTACCTACCTCTTGTATACGATCCAAAGCTCGAATATTTTCTAATGTATCAAGAGAAGGTGAGAGTCCCCCGTGCAGACAGAAAACCTGCATCGTCAATAAATAGCAGCAAAAATTCAGAATAGAACGATCATTGATCATGCCAACTCAAACATACCGTTGACAACATTCACCATTCTACCTGACTCTCAATGAGTGCCGTGAGTGGCAGATAATCAAAAAGGTCCGTAAAATACTTCCACAAGTTTGCATTCCCATATTTTCTCAAGCACTCGTCGTAGAAGTTAGAACCCATAGCTGAAAAAAGCGGGTGAAATGGAACGATCAAAACCTTGCCTTGAACTAGATAACAACAGCTATGAGGTCTGATACTCATGTCGTCAAACTTGAGTATACTTGAAAGAGTTTAACCGATAGCACAAAGAACGAGCGCAGAGATCATACACTTGTGTAATCTGCCTGCTCTCGTGGTTTCCTCTCAGAATCGTGATTCTATCTCTGTAACGGACCTTAAGGGCCACTAAGAGTGTGACCGTCTCCACCGAGTAGTATCCACGATCTGCATAACAGCAAGTTTAGAGAAAGAGATCAATACTTCCTTCCACCTAATAGATCCAGAAAGTTTTATATGATTTCAAGTTTACTTTCAGTCATGAGAAGAACTCCATTATTGACTTCGTTTTTCTACTTTCAAGTATCACAAATCCACATCCAGATATCCTTGGAGATCTCAAGAGGCAATTCCCAAGTTACATAAATTTATCAGACATCTATTCAAGCCTACAAACAATCAAACAGAGGAAATCAACGAGCCATCTTGAACCAGAGAGATCTTAGAATCGAAGCCAAACAAGAAGCGAGAAAGCAAGCCGAAATCAGAGGAAACTCTCAGTGACTACTGGGAACTAATGAAGTCCAAAGAGGATTTGACTGATTGACAGACTTACCAACATAATCGCCCATGAACAGGTAGTTGGTATCTGGAGCATTTCCGCCTATCTTAAGCAGCTCAATGAGATCGTAGAACTGGCCGTGGATATGGCCGCAGACAGTGACCGGACACTTCACCGGCTGCACGTTCCACTCCTCCGCTAGAATCGCCCGAGCCTGATCGCAGAGCGCCCTAACCTCCGCCTCGGGCAAAGGCTTGCACTCCATCAGATGCTCGATCTGACGGTCCAGATCCCCTTGAGACGGCATCGCTCCTGGACGAAACGGGACTGCTGACTGGACCCTTAATTTTTAATGATATATATAATTAAAAAATAAAAGTAATTAATTAATATCCAACCTCATCCCCTGATCTCTCTCATTCCTCTGAAGGAAAAACAAAAGGTGATTGACGGTGGTGAAACAAAAGGGAATTGATAAAGGTTGTCCTTAAAATTACTATTAATCGTCCTAAAAAATAACAAAGTTATACTTTTAATTTTTGGCATTTTTAGCAAACAAACATCACTTTGACTAAAAAAAATAAAAACACTCAATTTCCCACACTCTCGAATTCATCGTTGACATTCTCGAGTCGTAATCATTGGGAATGCGCCGGAATCATGAGTAGCGACTTCGACGAGGTAAAAATTCGATTTTTTTTTCAAAAAAAACCCAAAACCCTTCAACCGAAGCCAATTTCCAGTTGTACCATGGCTCAACGGAAGACAATTTTCGGTTGTACCATGGACCAACCGAAAATCACCTTCGGTTGCACCATGGCTCAACCGAAGGTGATTTTCGGTTGGTCCATGGTACAACCGAAAATTGTCTTCCGTTGAGCCATGGTACAACTGGAAATTGGCTTCGGTTGAGGGGTTTTGGATTTTTTTTGGATTTGTTTGGTTTATATTAATAATTTTCTATTCTTTTACTACGATTTATGGTTCGGTCCATAAGATAATTTGTTGGATTTTCGTTTACCTTTTTTTAGATTTATGGAAGGGAAGGGGTTGTTTGATTTTGAAATTCAAAATGGGCAATTCAGTAAATTACATATTAAGTTAGGACTAGGGCTGTCAAAATGGTTTCGGGTTTTCGGTTTAACACGAACCCGAACCGCCAGCAAGTGTCTGCGGGTTCGGTTTGTTCGGTTTCAACCCGAGAATTAACATGCTGGGTTCGGTTTCATAAACCTGAAACCCGAGAGGGAACCCGAAAACCGAATTGCAAAAACAGCTGGCGGGCCGCGATGAGTTCGAGAGGTTTGTGAAGGAGGAGAGCCGGCGGCCGGTGAGAGGACTCGCGAGTCGCGACGCAGCTGTGCTCGGCGCACCAGATGGGGAGCTGCCGGATGGGGGCGGATTCGGCGGTGTCGGCGGTGAAGGAGACGGGAGAAACGTGGGAGGTGGAAGGGCTTTACGTGGCGGATTCCAGCGTGTTCCCGACGGCACTTGGGGTGAATCCCATGGTCACCGTTCAGGCGATCGCTTATTGCACGGCTCAGTCAGTTCTTGAGGGCCTCAAGCGGAAGAAATTTTATTGAACAATTTTCGGCTGTACAAATAATAATAATAATAATTTAATAATTAACAAATAATAAGAATATAAAATTCAAATTACAAAAATATTATAAAAAAAATTAAACTAGTTCGGTTTCGGGTTCACCCGAACCGAACCGAAACCACCAGGGATTTTTTCGGGTTTCTGAACCCGCAACCCGCAAAACACAAATTCGGTTTCGGGTTTGTGGGAGCCGGTTTCGGGTTTCGGTTTTTTGCGGGTTTTGGGTTCGGTTACACGACCCAAACCGAACCGGCAGGCCTAATTAGGACGACGATTAGTAATTTTTAGGACGACCTTTAACCACTGAGAAACAAAACCGTCGATGCTCCTCCTCTTTCTTTCTCTTGTTTTCTCTCATTCTCGTCTTCCCTTCTGACTATTCTTCTTTCTATCTTTTCTGATAACGACGAAGAGGGAAGAAAAACGACAACGAAGGCGAGGTGGAACATCAACGGCGGCGACGAAAGGAAGGCGGCGACGGACCGAAGTAAAACCCTTTTGAATGTCGATTTTTTAGGGCTTTTGGTTTAATTTCAGTTGGGAGTGTAAGGATTTTAATTGAGATCATTTGGGTTGGTTAAGCAGCTGATCTGAGTTTGTTTTCTAAGATTATGAAAATTTTTATGGTTTCTAGGTTTTCGATTTTGTTACGGAGGAAAGGAGAGAACCTACAAAAGAAAAATGAAGAGGTACTACAGTAGTAACCAGCCGGAGATTGTCTTGCCGGCGACACACACGGAGGTGGCCGGTGGATCAGTTTCTCGGCCTCGGCGGAAGCAGTTCGCGAGTTGCAGAGAGGATGAGGATGGGGTTTTTAATTATTTATTATAATTTTTTTAATTGACATGTCATTAAGTTAATGATCCAATCAGCAATTTTGTTTGCCACATCATAAAAAAACTGATAGAGTTAACGGAGACTAACGGTTGGTGACTACCGGTGAAATGATTCGTAAAGTTAGTGGTGAATAAGAAAGAAAAGTAATTCGAGTGGCAAACATGAAATATTTATGTAATTTCAGTAACCAAACATGTAATTTAGCCATTAAAAAGGTAAATTAACAACGAACAACGACTTGGTCTAGTGGTAATACCACTAGATTTAAACTTGTAGGTCACAAGTTCGAATCGTAAGTAGTACCTAAACAACAAATATAAACCTATATCACTCTTATCCAAAAAATAATATTTAATTAACATAAAAATAATTTATAGTGGGAATTGGAAACTAATAGTAAACAATTAGATTCGTAAAAAATAATTATATAAAATGTATTTTATTAATATTTATAATAATTTATGTAAATTATAGCATTAGTTATAAAATATATAGAGGTAGTTTGCTTCGTGGAATTGAAAAATGAAAGTTTATTTTATATTTGGTTTTGAAAAACCATGGGTATACGTGTGGAAAATTGTCAATCCGTTGACAAGTGGGTGGATTAATTTTACATTCAAAACCCAACTGATCCACTTGTTGTTGTTGATCTTGAAAGTTGCTTATGATACACTAACCTAAGATCAAGGTTGAGTGATGGTTCCTAGGGTTCATTGAGTGTTTTGGTTATGAGTAGTTTTTTCTTGGGGACAAACAAAGTTCAAGTGTGGGGTATTTCTTATGACACTTTATTTATGGTGTTTGTCACTCCCATTCTCAATAGATTTTCCCCTTCTATCAAAGCATTTTTAGTCCTTTCTCTAGTACTTCTTATCTAAATCACAACTATTTGATCCTTGAGCCTTTATAGACCTAGGTTATGTTTTTGTACTCTTTGATGCATTCTTGGTATGGTTTTTTTGTATGGTTTTGAAGGTACAAAACAACCTAAGAAAGTTTAGATCAAGCATTGAAGAACTCTTGAGGACCAAAGGAGTTATAAAGAGAAGAATATGGAGCTTTCATGATAAAGATGGGGTTTAATGAAGAAGTCTACTAGAAGTTATTGTATGAGCCCAAGACAAGCCTAATAGAGGAAGACTCGACCTAAGGTGAAAGAAGCCATCGGTGTCCCAGCATCGAGTCCAACCACCATTGGAGGAGACCTGGTCAAGACAAGTCCAAATCATAAGAAGAGGTCGTCCGTGGGCCAAGGAGCTCAATCCACAGAGAAAAAGGATGGCGTTCAAGCCAAGCTTCTAGAAGCCTTGTTCAAGAAGTTACGAAGTCTACGAAGACTAGGAAAACCCTTTCGTAATAAGTTTAGAAGAATTCTAGCCAAGTTCTCCCCCTCCCAATAGCGGGCATGGCTCATTAATTCATTAAGACTGCACAACCACACAAAAACTTATGTACTCTGCCCGAGTAAAATCTTAGCTTCGTACGAGAGTCTACAGACAAGGAGATGATGTCATCATTGATGGTGGTACACTCCTTCTCTTCTATGTAGCTAGTTCGGAATTCACTATATGAGGATGTGAACTCCTTAATCTTTATCCGAATGAATGCTATGGTTTTATAACGTGCTTGTGTTTATCCTTATGAATTTTTGTGCTCATTGTCAATGCATGTATGTCTATCTTTCGATGCCCAAGTGATGATCATTGTTGTTTATCTAGTATGAATGCTTCTTTATCATCGATGCTTGTGATTCTATAATGTGCTACTATATGCATTGTGGTTAGTATGATCTAGATTGATAAGAAAGTACCCTCTAGTGATACCACATTGATGCTACATGAGTATAGAGGGAATGATCAACCATCTATATCTTGACCATTCCTCAAGATTTGGAAGGCCATTCCTTGCCACTAATTGAGCAAGAATTGATGAGATCAAATTTCAATTTGGCTTTCATCTTGAGGATTTGACAAACATAATAGTTCATCATCATGATCTAGACCCGAAGTATGAAGGCGAGTTGAATAAGGTTCCACCAATTTGATGCATGAAGCAAGCTCAAATGACACTCAAGATAGCCTGTAAAAGGAAAAAGAATATGATAGAAAAGATTGATGAGTTGGAGTACGAGACATCACAAGAGTATAAGGATTTTATCAATCGTCATCAACCTATAAGAGTCAAATACGATCAAATCCTTGCAACGGGATGGGGAAATGAAGATGAAGTAAAGTCTGATCGTGAAATCAACTAAAAGGGAACCTCGCTAAGCCTAGCTCAAAGGCATAAAAGAGAGAGCGCTCCATAGGAGGCAGCCCATGTCTAGCGTTGGACTTATTGACTCTAAATAAAAGTGCTACCATGGAGACATCCCGTATTTGTCTTTCCTAGATTAATTTTTAATTTCAAAATTTGTTTTTGGCTTAAAACTTGTAGTTACTCATTGGAGGAAAACATTGTATCCTTTGGATAAGTGTTACATTTGGAGAAAATTTTGAACTTACGAAGAGAATGGAAGATTTAAAGGCGTAAAAAATAGTACAAAATCAACTTTCATAGTATCGAGGTAAGTGTTTTAATACAAAAATATTGGAAACCGACGCAAAACACGAAGGAAAGAGCCATGGCAAGACCCAGTATGACACTGTCATCGATTCTCTCTCTTCGTTTTTCAATTGTTATTCAATTTTGTAGTAACTCTCATCAATCCAAGTAAGTACCCATGATCTTTAGATGAATCTAGGTGCCTTGAACCATGAATTTAGGGCTTCGATCGAGGATTTCAAGTTTAAAATTGCTTGCGAAATGGGAGTCTTCTCTTATTGATTTTCGGCCTATGCTAGGCACAATGGATGTTTATGAATGCATGATGATTGGTTTTATGTTTAGAAATGAGATTGCATGGTACTTATGACGATTTTATTGAAGGTACGTGACTCGATACGACAAAACACCAAAGTACGATCAAGGGTAATCGTAGAATGGAAATGCAGTATAGTGGATCATTTTTAATTATCAACCCGGGGTCTAGATGTACTACCTACTCCGTGAAATTCTATTATCTAGCGGAAAAAGTTTAGTGAAGTGTTCAAAGAAATTTAAACAGAAAGCAGTAAAAAGGTTCTGGTTTTTCAAGTTCGAGAAGGAACCACTCAGGTAATGATTGCCCCTAGTCTACAGTTAAGTCGAGTTATAATTCACCCAGTCCAACTCAATTCAGATTTATACTGCGGAAGATCTTGTCCTAGCTTGGAATCTCTTAACCTGACCAAGCCCTCTCAGTCACGTTACCCGACAGACTACTAACCCTCACCGAGATAAAGTGTTGAGGCAGTAAAAACATATCTCCTCTACTAGAATGATTTCCAGTACAGAGCAATGAATCAATTGACTTTTGCACAATCGACTCACTACTTCCAATTTAAGATGCTCTGTTGACCTACTCAAATTCTAGCGTTTTAGGTCAAAGCTGGAAACATACAAGTGTTATCAAGACTCATAGATTTCTGAATAAAACACTTCAATTGGACATATAATCATCAATGTACTGAAATGAGTTCATACAACTACTCATAACAAGCAAAACTAGGGTTCTTCATACCCAAGTGGTATAGGAGAGTTTACTCCATGGAGAGAGTGGAAAACGCCAAGCTTGGAAGAGAAATCATCATGGGAATAATGGAAATCTGCTCCATACTGAAAATTAGTACTCCAAGGGTTACAAATCGAGCTTCAAGGTCTTCCAATCGCTCCAAGCCTTGCCCAAGGGTTGTTCTTCGTCACTTTCTCTCTAGGGTTCTCTCTAGCCATTCCTGAACTTGTAAAATCGGATTGTGAGCCAACTTCTCCTAGCTGCAGCTTAGAAAGCCTGACACTAGAATCCATGGTCTAGAGACTGTGGATTTCCCAACATACAGTGCAGCAATTAGTGGCATTCCCGAAACCCACGGTTTCCTCCTTAAAAATCCCCAGTCATGGAATTGGGGCGCCAGACCGTGGATTTCCCTTGATCAAAATCCAAGGTCGTGGAATTGAGGCACCTGACCGTGGATTTAACTGCTTTGGCCTCTGGTTCCCGTTTGCTATCCAGTTGCATCCAGACTTGCTCCTCAACCTCTATTTACATGCTAGGACCTAAAATATCATCAACAAGAACTACCTAGCGTAAAATGGGCCAAAAAGCAATCAAGAGCTAAGCCAAACGGTCGAAAAATGTCGAAAAAAACATGTGTAAATATGTCATTATCAAATTCCCCCACTTAACCGTATGCTTGTCCCCAAGCAAACCTGACTCAAACCAATGCAACTCTCCAGACCTTTACATCAACATGCAACCCCGATCATCGGCAAAGGATGTCCTAAGTCATTTAGCAGCTTAGGTCAACCAGTTTTCTAAGACATGCCCTATCTCTCTCAATGCGAGTTCTAAACTCAAGCCAGGATCATGCAAAATAGTGGACCTAGGACAGACAATTCATGGACAAAGAGACTCACACAACACAACAACCAAGGACTCTTCGTATCGGCTGCTCCTCCCATTCACTTCATTCACTGGAACCCCCTTTTCTTATGGTTTTCTTTCTTCAATTTTTTTTTGCCACACTTTGCTGGGGTTCCAGACTGCAATTTTAAATGCTCAATAGGCCCTTATTGGTTGAACTAGAGAAATTTTGGTACATCTATCGCTCGCCAGAGCACTTCTTTCAACTCCTTTTCCTCAACTCGTGTGGAGGGTCAATGAAATTAAGGGGGTCAGAAGCTCTATCCGTGCCCTTAAAAACACATCCTCGAGTAGGCAAACCGTTCAATGGGTGGAGTTTTTACTTGTACTAGAGACAACTTAGCTTCACCTTGTAGGACTACCCCACTAAGGATCACTAAAATCTCTTCCAAAATCCGATTTGTGCAATGAACAGTGCCACACACGTTGGGCTTACCCCATGTTTAAAATTTTCAATTTTTACATGGAGGACCAACTGCTTCTGATTACGCACACTTGAGCACCCTTTTACGATACATGAGTCCACACCACACATAAGAGGAGTCATCGATACCACATGAATCAAATGTCCTAAAACCACTAGTTCACACGATCAACTGGCACAACAAAGAGACAGATAGGACAAATCTTATGCTTAGCATCCTCCATAGTGCTACCACTACCTCCCTAGGTTGCATGATACCATAAAGACTGTAAATTCAAAGCATACTAAGAAGGCAATTGGTAGGAACACGTACTTGGAGACCTCAAATCAAGATTTGGGTAGTGGACTAGGCTCCAAGCACACAAACACATCTAAGCAGTCAAATAGAGACCCCCCCACCACACACACACACACACACACACACACACACACACACACACACACACACACACACACACACACACACACACACACACACACACACACACACACACACACACACACTTAAGTTCGACATTTCCCTCAATGGAGAAGAAGGAAGGATAAGGGGAACGATGTTACTGGGAAGACAGACTACGGCAGGACTGAAAAAGGGACCTGTTAGGAATAGGAGACTGGCATGGGACCAAACACTACAAGAAGGGCTCACAAAAAAAGCACTCGATCATGAAATGTTAGGGACTGTTGCCACGCAAATGGGCTCAACATAAATAAAAGACATCACACCAAAATAGTTAAGGCTCCCACACACATAGAGCAACCACAAAGAAAACAAAAACACACAGAAACAGCTGAGGAGCACATCCTACTCTTGGGTGTTTACGTCGACGTCGAAGTCGATGTCTGCCATGAATTCATCGTCATCCAGCGGTGGAGGTTGTAGGTGAGGGTACCCATGTAGTAGTCCAGTTATGCTCCTGGTGACAAGACTCGAGGACATGCTCCTAGTACTCCATCATCAGGAGGCTGCGGTCGCGCTCATGGTCAATATGGGCACGGATCACACCGTGCTCGGACTCCAGACGGTATAGGCAGTAGTCAAGCTGGCCCAGGCGGCTGGAGTACTGCTCCTTATGAGCCTAGTACTGCTCTTGAAACTTTTTCTAGGAAGACAAGATCTGCTGGTTTTGGATGGCCAGCTGCTGGAACATATCAGTGAAGAAGTCCATCAACAGAATGCTCTTGTTCTGATGCTACCATATTTTAACAAGACTTTTGAAGTGGAATGTGGCGCATCAGGCTTGGGAATTAGCGTTGTATTGATGCAAGAGAAGAGGCCAATTGCATATTGCAGCGAAAAGTTAAGTGGAGCTACGCTTAATTATCCGACCTATGATAAAGAGCTATAGGCGTTGGTTCGAGCTTTGGAGACTTGGCAACACTACTTGTGGCCAAAACAATTTGTCATCCATATTGATCATGAGTCTTTGAAGCATTTGAAGGCCCAACATAAGTTGAACAGGAGGCGTTCTCGTTAGGTGGAGTTCATTGATGGTTTCCTTACGTGATCAAGTACCAGCAAGGTAAGGAGAATGTAGTTGTTGATGCCCTATCGAGAAGATCACAACCATGGATGCGAGGTACCTTGGTTTCAAGCAAATCAAAGGTATCTATGAGGAGGATTCCGATTTTTGAGAGATTTACAAGCCATGTGAGAAGCATCGAGAAGGAAAGTAGTATCCACATGAGGGCTACTTCTTTTGTGGTAATCAACATTGCATGCGACATACTTCACTTTGAGAATTGCTACTACGAGAAGCTCACTGAGGAGGATTAATGACACACTTTGGTGTGGCCAAGACATTAAGTTGCTTACAAGAACATTTCTACTAGCCTCTTATGAAAAGCGATGTGGAGAGCTTATGTGATAGATGCGTGGAGTGAAAACAGGCTAAATCGACGGTGCAGTCATTACACCTCTACCCATTCCATCTATGCCATCTGTTGATATATCTAGGATTTCATATTAGTTTTTCCAATGACAAAGAGCGGTTGAGATTCCATATTCGTGGTGGTGGATTGATTTTCAAAGATGGCACATTTCATTCCATGCCATAAGACTGACGATGTTGTTAATGTGGTGGATCTGTTCTTCAAGGAGGTCGTGCGACAACATGGGATGCCGCATACCATTGTTTCTGATTGTGATGCAAAGTTCTTGAGCTATTTTCGGAAGACATTGTGGAGCAAGCTTGGGATGAAGCTCTTATTTTCGACTACTTGCCATCCTCCAACCGATGGGCAAAGTGAAGTGGCGAATCCTACTCGTCACAAATGCTAAGAGCATTCATCAAGAGCAACATTATGACATGGAAGGACTACCGCACGTGGAGTTTTCCTACAGTCGAGCTATGCATTCAACGACGAAGTATTCTCCTTTTGAACACAAGAGAGAAGGCCCATTTCTAGGCATGATAATACGCCCCTGGGGTGTATTTTTATCAAAGTAACGCAGCCAATTATTCAATCGAAGATTGATTGAACTCGAATTAAGAACAATGTGCTCTTAATACGAAATTGGGATAAAACGGAACCAACGGACAATTCCACACCCGGGGAAAGCTCGAATGGTATAAAAGGGTAGCTGCTCGACCACGATTGAAGAGGATATTCAATCGATACAAAGCTCACAAGCTTGGAATCCACCAAACTCAAACAAGTCGCAACTTGCACAAAACCAAAGGTTTGTTTTTCGATTAATCAAATTCTTATGTTTTTACAACATAAATGGAGGGCTATTTATAGCCAATTAAACCTAATACAAATCTGGATGAACAAGGAAACAAATAAGGTAAAAGTCTACACTGGACACAAAATTCGGGTTTAAACTCCCTTTCTTGAAGCACAATTAAGCTGCCAGCAAACAGTCAAAAAGGCAACTTTCGTACTAACTTCGTGTCATTCGTTCGAAGTCTTCCCGAACTCCAATCCTTCATCCAATTCCTTCCCTTTGTACATAAACATACCCAGTTTCATGTTGTGGAAGCCTTTGGAGTTGAATCAGATCCATACTCCTCGAATTAAACTCGAAAGTAGGCTTCACAAAATAGTTTTCTGCCTTAGTCATTTTCTGGCAGTTTTCCAGATTTGAGGTAGCAACTTTGAGGCCTTGGAAAACAACATTAATGACATCTTCCTGATCCACAAAGCATACCACTGGAAACATGGCAAATTTTTATGTAAAACAAGCCCTTGAAATCCAATTTTAACCGAGTCAATTGTGAGAACCATGCCTCCAAAATAGGCATCCCGAAACTGTCCCAACACTTGGCCAAATTCTGCCTTTCTTCTTCCCAACTTCGATAGCTTCTTTGTCAAGTAATTGTGACGTGAATGGTTGGCAATTTGAGATCATATCAGGCCCTCCCTCTTGAAAAAGTGTTGCCCTCAACACTTTAGTCTTTCTTTGCTCAAATCGTACACAGAAGTGATCCCAAATTGGATCGAAAGTGGGCTGCATAAACACCATTTTCGTCATAAAAAATTTGCACCTTCAGAATCGTCTCCAATTTGTTCCAACTCCTTCGTAGTACTCCAGGACTCGCCTTCCACACAAAAATAAGCAAAATCTGGACACACAATCGGATTCTGTACATTTAAGAACGCCGACCAAATTTTCCCAGTTTCCGGCGAGTTGATACTTTCCGGTGAGACCTCCAAAATTGGGCGTTTCGCTTCTAGGCCACTTCGAGCCAATTCACCGCTCGAGATCGACTTGCCTGGGTCCCAGGAGGCGATTCCATCCGTTCCTAGCCTTCGATTCTTCCAAACGCGTCGCCAATTAGAATAAACGAATTTCCCTCCCCCGGGGAATTTGAATTTCCCAGAATCCGGCGAGCAAAACCCAAATGCCGGCGAGCCACTTGCAAAATTGGGGAAATTCAATTCTGACTCCTTCATTCCCAATTTCTTGGCTCTAAAGAATCCTAGTGACTTCACGAACTTCACCACGTTCCCAGTTTTGCTCGAATCCTTCTCCACTGCGCCAACCAATTCGCAAAAATGAGCTTCTTGTTTCTGCATTTTCAGAGGCATACGAGCCCCATTTTGATCTTGAAAATTAAGCGTATTCAAGGCGATCCATCCTTCGGAGCAGCTTCCTGGGGTCTTTTGAAAGGTTTCTACGGTGTTTTCTGAGTTCGATTCTGGCACAATGTTGCTGCTCGTTAAGCACCCTCCTCTGACTCCGTTTGTCATACACAGAGGTGAAATATCAGAGTCATAATCCTCAAATGGAGGTTCGTTCAGCTCGATGGGGTGTAATTTTAACAATTCTGGGGTCTGAATGAATGAGTCTGCGTCATCTCCATAAGTCGACTCTTCCCTAGTTGGCCTGCCCATGAGAGCCCTGTTTGCGCTCTGTTTCGTCAACGCTGGACAGACTGGCGCAGTCCTCGCCAATGGCTCGACTCGAGCATCTTCAAGGATTTCTGAATCTTCAGCTTCACTGTTCTTCTTTACTTCACCGTCGAGGAAGAACTCCACACCTGCTGGATTGCTCGATTCTTCCTTGACCTCCTCTAATTCGGCCAGCTTCTCAATGTCCTGTTTTGCCATCGCAAAACAGAGTTTTCCCTGGGCAGAACATGGTTCGTTCTGGGCATTGGATTTCGGCGCAAATTCTTCCTTGTGAGGCTTCCTGAAGCTCATAAAATTAAATACAAGGCTTCTCTGAACCCACTGACAAGATTCAAGGGATTGATTGATCTCAATTCAGAAGAAGAGGCTGCTCAGATCAGTAAAGGAAAGCAGAAGATGGAGGTTCATATGATTGAAGGGGTCCGGATCCCCTCGGTAACCAATACATCAGTAACCATCAGTAACCCCTTCCCCTGGCCCCCACGTGTCAGCCTTTTTCTTTTATTAAAATTCAACACAGAGGGGTAATAGGGTAAATTGTACCCCCTATTTAATTCTGACGCTGACGCTGACGCGGATCCCACTCTCCCACCCCACCTAGTTCTCCTCTCTTTTACTCTTTGTTTTATTATTAGAAAAAGTACATTATTTTCTCTCTCTCATCCACAACAAAAATGAATCTAATCATCTTAGCTATCTTTGTTCAAATTTCAACTCAAATTAAATGGTTATTTTTTCGTTAAATAATTTAGTGCGAAAGACATTAATTACAAATATGAAATTTATTATCACTGTCTACTATCATGGTAAAACATGGTAAAATACGTTGAAATTTTTTTTACAAATCTAACTACCATACAATACCAGTATACCACATGGTATAACGTCGTAAAACATGCTACAGAAATTTACAAATCTATTTACCATATCATACCATTTGGTATAACATGCTAAAATAAAATTACAAATCCAACTAACACCACATGGTAAAACATGTTATGGAAAATTATAAATCTGACTACCATACAATACCACCATAGTAGAACATGGTTAATCGAATGAACACAAATTAATTATAATTACCATACAATACCACATGGTATGAGAAGGTAAAACCATACAAAAATAATATAAATCTAATTACAACCCTTTACAATCATAGTAAAACACGATATCCATAAAAATACATTTCGTTACCACACTTTACCATATGGTATAGACACTTTATCATATGGTATATACACATTACCATATGGTATAGTGTGGTATATACACATTACCATATGGTATATACACTACAGGAAAACAGATTTCTAGTCACGGGATCTATTTCACGGGAAATTTTACCGTACTAAGAAGTGTATTAATGATCACGGGTAAAATTCCTGTAATTGATTGTATAGTTCCAGTCACGGTAATTAGTTTAACAAATTTTTAGTCTTTGTTTACCGTGATTAATAGTTAGTCACGGTTAATTACCGTGAACAATGTGAGAAATTATTACTCACGGTTAATCACCATGAACAATGTGACAATTTGTCTTTCCAAATTAAAAATTAAAATTAAGGGAATTTAAAATGAATTAAAAAAGAAACGTGAGTGAAAATTTTGTTGTGAACCAACTAACAACTAAAATTAATTAAAATATTTATGGTTGAATGAAAAGACGTGGACAAAATTTGCTGCCTAATTAATAACCTAATAACACTAGTACTTGAAAATTGATTTGTCCAAAAGTCCCATAACTCCCGCAATTTCTTTCCCGCCGGCAAATGCTAAAACTTCCCTCCTAAATTTTGGCTCCAAGTCCAAAAATTTAGCCTCCAGTGAATTCCGAAAATTTTGGTATAGTGTGGTATATACACATTACCATATGGTATAGTGTGGTATATACACATTACCATATGGTATATACACATTACCATATGGTATATACAAATTACCATACGGTATAATGTGGTATATACACATTACCATATGGTATATACACATTACCATATGGTATAGTGTGGTAATCTCAGTATATATATACAATTACGACTCTCTTCACTTTCTTCTCCAACTTCATTGTCTTCTAACTCTTTTTTCTCATAACTGGAGTCGATTACCACCCACTACCACCATGATAAAACTCGTGAACATAAAGATACATTTAGTTATCACACATTACCATATGGTATAGTGTGGTAATATCAATATATATTACCTAAAAGGAAGAAAAACAGGAGGGAGAGACAAAAAAAACTCGTCTTCTGTCTCCTCTCATTTCTCCTTTGCAATCAAGAAAACCAAATGCAACAAAAAAAGAGGAGGGAGATCGGAATTGAAAATACACAAACAAATACTAAAATATAAAACATGCAAACTTAACTCACATAGATCCGTCCCTCTCTTGGTCAATATGGAACGTCATCTATTTTGAGGCCGAGAAAAGAAAGAACATAAGAAGCAGCTGCAAAGAAGAAGGATTTGGAGAACTATGGAGCTGAAGAGAGTTTCGGAGAAGAGAAGAAAGAAACGTTTCCTTTTATTAGTTTGTCTTTTATTCACTGCGTTGTCGTTTTAGTGTAGTGGAGTTAGTTTCAGTTGGACGAATGGCGAGCCGCCACGTCAGTTTTACCGTTATGTAAACAGTAAACTTTGAAGTCCTTTAAATACAGAAACCCAGCAACGAAATCAGCTGAGGATTTCCCAATTATTCTTTCCTCCTTTCACTTTCTCACAAAACCTTCCTAAGGAAGTTTTCATGGTATCAGAGCAGATCTGAGTGGATCTGATTAACGATGTCCGGAGCACAGTCCAGCACTGGTCAGGTGAACAACACACCGTCGAACACCCCTCCATTAAACTTTGGCAACTTTGGTACGAATCAGGGTCAAGGTGTCAACAACAACAACAACAACAATCGAGCAGGAGTAGCTGCTGATTTGAACTTTGGTAACCCCTTTTACATAAACCCTAATGAAAATCTAGCCCAGTCTATCGTTCCCATTGTGCTGGATGGCCCTAACTACCAGACTTGGTCTAAGGCAGTGACTATTGTTCTTAAGACTAAGCATAAGTTAGGGTTCATAGATGGGTCGATTGTTGCTCCGAATAGAGATGATGATATGTTTCAGATCTGGGATGCTTGCAACACGATTGTCTTGTGTTGGATTACTAACTCACTCGAAAAGGACATAGCCAGAAGTGTCCTGAGTCATGATAATGCAAGAGCATTATGGAATGAGCTTAAGGAGCGATATGGTCAAGCTGATGCCATAAAGCTCACGAACTTGGAAGATGAAATTCATGCCACAAAACAGGGTACCCAGACCATTACTCAGTATTACACTCACATGAAGGGTCTTTGGGAAGAGTACAGTCAGTTTAACCCTATTGTTTCTTGTGGATGTTTGCCTGGAAACCCATTACCCTGTGCTGCAGTTGAAGCTTTTAAGCAGAAGCAAAACACTGATTATCTCATTAGGTTTCTGCGTGGTCTAAACCCAGAATATGAGTACATTAGATCACAGCAGTTAATGCAGAAACCATTACCCACAGTGGTCCAAGTTTTCCATGATTTACTGCAGCATGAGCAGAAACTCAAAGCTGATGGAAACAGAAATGGAAACAAGGGAGGACAATCAGTTGCACTAGCAGCTGGTTCCTCCAGTAACTCATCAGTAGGCAATTCTTCTAAGGGGTCAAACAGGAACTACAATGAAAGGGCTGGTAATGACAGATACAATGAAAGAGCTGGCAATGACAGAAGTGGAGCTGAGACAGGAGAACTGTTTTGCAATTACTGCAAAAAGACAAACCATGTGATTAAGGAGGATTGCTGGAGACTGAAGAAGAAGAATCAAAACAAAGAGGGAGGACAATATAACAGGTTTTCTGGAGCAGTTGGTCATGAATCAGATTCGGAAGGGGAAAGGCAGTTGCAAGTTGAAGTTGGGAGTCATTCTAATTCTGCTGCTGGTGGGTTCACTGCTGAAGAGATACACAGACTGAGAGGGTTGCTTCAATCTTCCAGTTCACCAACATCTCCTCAGAGCCCTGCAGTGAACCACAGGTCACACTCTGTGACCAAATATCTGCCACAATTTCCTAATTATGGAGGTATGTATGTTCTTTCTACTTGTCAGAATCATAAGACTCTTCAACATAAATGGATATTTGATACTGGTGCATCAGACCATATTGCTTGTTCTCTTTCTCTTTTTGACAAATATAGACCTGTTTTTGATGTATTTGTCTACCTTCCAAACAAAGCAAAAGTCCCAGTCTCACATGTTGGTTCAGTTAGACTGTCATCACAGTTATTCCTTCACAATGTTCTCTTAGTACCTAGCTTCACCTTCAATCTAGTCTCTGTCAGTAAGCTTACACACGACCTACCAATCTCACTCATCTTTCAATCTAATCTCTGTCATGTCCAGGACCTAGTGAACAGCAGGATGATTGGTTTGGCCAAAGAAAGTAGAGGCTTATATCATTTCATTCCAGATGCAACTACACCTTCCCAAGTCATCTCTTCCAATACATCTCAAGTTGCATCTGTTTACAATTTTGAGCCCCAGAAGATTGAGTTGTGGCATTGGAGATTAGGCCACCCTAGTAATAGTAGTACTATCCTTTTAAACAAATGTAATCCTACATTTCCTATAGAGAAAGTCAAACACTGTGAACACTGTCATTTGTCTAGACAGAAGAGATTACCCTTTCCTTTGAGTGAATCTGTTGCATCAGATGTTTTTGCTCTTGTTCATGTTGACATTTGGGGACCATTGGCAATCAATTCACATGATGGTTATTATTATTTCTTAACTGTCGTGGATGATTTTTCCAGAGCAGTTTGGGTTTACTTAATGAAACAAAAGTCAGAAGCAAGAGATTTGTTAATAGGCTTCTGTAACATGGTCAAAACACAGTTTGGAAAACCTGTCAAAACCATAAGAAGTGACCAAGGAAAGGAATTTTACATGTGTGAATTCTATCTAAGTCAGGGCATTGAGCATCAGATGTCCTGTACTTACACACCTGAACAAAATGGGAGGGTAGAGCGCAAGCATCAACATATTTTAAATGTTGCTCGTGCATTGAGATTTCATTCAGGTGTGCCTCTCAATTTTTGGAGTGATTGTGTCCTCCATGCTGTCTTTATCATCAATAGACTTCCAACTCCAGTGTTGAATAATAAGTCCCCATACGAAATTCTATATCAAAGACCTCCATTTCTTGGCCAATTAAGAGTCTTTGGTTGCTTGGCATATGCTGCCAGCATTACTCCAGGAAGAACTAAGCTTGATCCTAGGGCTAGGCAATGCATTTTCCTTGGCATTCCTGCTGGGATGAAGGGTTTTAAGCTATTTGACCTGAAAAAACATGAATTTCTGGTATCTAGGGATGTCACATTTTATGAAGACATGATCCCCTTTAGAACAAAGGCTGCAAATCTTAGTGAACAGGAGAAGGATGATTCTACACCCTTGTTTCCATCTCCTTCTGCACCTTTGCTACCAACACCTTCTTTCAGTGAATCCACTCCTGTCAACTTACCTTCTAATCAGGTTCAAACCAATAGCCATTCCAATCAGAATCATGTCAGTAGTCTTTCTGGTCAGGGTTATGTCAGTAGTCCTTCCAAAGAGCCTTCCCTTCCCACAAGCAGTGGGTTTGATGCATCTCATGATGATATCTATGTGCATGAGACTGATGATTCTGCAGGTTTGGATGAGGAGGAACATGAAATTCAACAACTAGATGATCATGAAGCAGAACCTATTAGAAGTAGACCTCAAAGAAACATAGTCTTGCCAGCAAGGTTAAAAGATTGCTATCTAGGGATAGTGACCAAGTATCCCATAACAGATGTAGTAGGGTATGAACTACTCACTGAAGACAACAAGAACTATGCAGTAAATATGATAACTATGGTAGAACCAGCTTCCTTTGAGGATGCTAATGAAGAAGAGTGTTGGAGAAAAGCTATGCAGGAAGAGCTTGCAGCACTCATTGAAAACCAGACCTGGGAACTAGTGAAGTTACCAGCAGGAAAGAAAGCAATAGGATGCAAGTGTGTCTATAAAATCAAACTGAAGCCAGATGGGAGTGTTGAAAGGTTTAAAGCCAGACTAGTAGCAAAAGGGTTTACACAAGTTTATGGAGTTGACTTCTTGGACACATTTTCCCTGTTGCCAAGAACAATTCTGTCAAAACATTACTAGCAGTAGCAGCAGCAAAAGACTGGCATTTGCATCAACTAGATGTCTCTAATGCTTTTCTGCATGGAGACTTGGAAGAAGATGTTTATATGCAACTGCCACAAGGTTTCCCTATAGAAGGCAGTTCACAAAGGATGGTTTGCAAACTGAGAAAATCCCTTTATGGCTTGAAGCAGGCCAGCAGACAATGGTTTGCCAAATTGACTGGATCATTGCTTATAAATGGTTTTTCACAATCTTCCTCTGACTATTCTATGTTCATTAGAAGGGTACAGGGAAGAATTGTTATTGTTCTGGTATATGTGGATGATATAATCCTTACAGGGCCTAGACTAGGTGATTTGGAGTCAGTAAAAGGTTTCCTGAAGAGGGATTTCAAGATAAAGGATTTGGGAAGTTTGAAATACTTCCTAGGATTGGAAGTAACAAGAAACAGAAGTGGGATATCTGTTTCCCAAAGAAAGTACTGCATGGATTTAATTGCTGAAACAGGTTATTTAGATGCTAAGAGCTGTAAAAGCCCTATTGATTGCAAAGTAAAACTGAGTGCAGGAGAAGGAAAGCTACTAGAAAATCCAGGCATTTACAAAAGACTTGTAGGCAGGCTGCATTACTTGACAGTAACCAGACCTGACATTGCATTTCCAGTCCAGCAATTGTGTCAATACGAAAGAGAACCAAGAGACACACACCTTCAAGCAGCCTATAGAGTGATCAGATACTTGAAGGGAGCACCAGGTCAAGGGTTGCACTTTAAGGCTAATTCAGATTTGGTTTTAAAAGCTTATAGTGATGCTGATTGGGCAGCATGCCCTGACACTAGAAGGTCAATTTCAGGCTATTGTACCTTTCTAGGGAGCTCCTTGATAACATGGAAGGCAAAGAAGCAGACCACTGTATCCAGATCTTCTTCAGAGGCTGAGTATAGGGCACTTGCCCACCTGATTTGTGAAATTCAGTGGCTTAAAGGACTGCTTGTAGAGCTAGATGTTAAGGTACAGACTCCAGTACTTGTTTATTGTGATAACATGTCTGCAATTCAAATTGCAGAGAACCCAGTGTATCACGAAAGGACTAAACATGTTGAGATATATGTCCATGTGACTAGGGAAAGAGTGAAATCTGGTCTCATTAACTTGAAGTTTGTCAGAAGTGAAGAACAACTAGCTGACTTGTTTACCAAGGGTCTGAGCAGGTTTAGATTGAACTATTTGCTTGACAAGTTGGACGTATTAAATGTATACGCGCCAACTTGTGGGGGCGTGACAAGATTCAAGGGATTGATTGATCTCAATTCAGAAGAAGAGGCTGCTCAGATCAGTAAAGGAAAGCAGAAGATGGAGGTTCATATGATTGAAGAACTATGGAGCTGAAGAGAGTTTCGGAGAAGAGAAGAAAGAAACGTTTCCTTTTATTAGTTTGTCTTTTATTCACTGCGTTGTCGTTTTAGTGTAGTGGAGTTAGTTTCAGTTGGACGAATGGCGAGCCGCCACGTCAGTTTTACCGTTATGTAAACAGTAAACTTTGAAGTCCTTTAAATACAGAAACCCAGCAACGAAATCAGCTGAGGATTTCCCAATTCTTCTTTCCTCCTTTCACTTTCTCACAAAACCTTCCTAAGGAAGTTTTCACCCACAGCTGAGCTTGAACGCTCTTTCCCTCATTCCTGTTCTCCTCCATTGTCTTGAGATCGGTATAAACTTCGTCGGGCGACATAGGCTTCAACTTGATTTTCCTTCCTTCGTGTTTGAAGGTATACGAATTCTCCCAGCCATCATGTATCACCCTTCTGTCAAATTGCCACGGTCTACCCAACAGAATATGAACGTTTTGCATTGGAACTACGTCACAGAGAACCGTATCTCGGTACTTACCAATGTTGAATTCGATTTGTGCTTGTTTGTTGACCTTCACGTCTCCATGTTCGTTGAGCCAGGTGAGATGATACGGTTTAGGATGCTTCTGGGTTTTCAATTCAAGATTTCGTATGGCATACTCACTGATCAAATTCGCGCAACTCCCTCCATCGATCACCAACGAAGCTAACTTGCCATTGATATTGCATCGTGTGTGGAAGAGGTGATCTCTTTGTTCGTCAGTCTCACGATGTTTAATGACGATTGCTGGCTGCTTCTTTTGGCCTTGAACTCGTGCATGTTGTTCCATGGCACTGCCCTCTACCAACTCCTTTGCTCAAAGGGAGTTTTCCATAGCGATTTCACAAGAAACAGTAGCTGGAACTTATGAAACAGGGGCTGCCCTGTTTGAACTCGAATTTTCTTGTACCAAAACAGTTGATTGCTTCTTCTTCTTCGCCCTTGTGTAGAACGAGGCTCTGATTCCACACAATTAGAAAGAAAAAATTAGACATGTCTCCACAAATATAAAGAAAATTAGTTGTTTAAATATTAAATATACCAGGAAAATTAATTATATGAGCGGAGAAAAATGAATCGGCTTAACAATAATACGGTACGAAAATTTTAAACGAATAAAATACATACGAATATGTGTACTTGAATTTGGGGCGGAGGCAGCTGGGGGGTCATGGTCCGCAGGGAATTAGTAAATACACTGAAGTAGGCATCGATTTTACACATGACTCTCATAGTCTGGGGGGGGGGGGGGACCGGTTACTGTAACAATCCATATTTTGTTGTTAGGGTGACAACACTAGCCTCCAACCAATAGGAAGCTAGGGTTGTGATGACTTTTTATTAGCTAAGTTGACATAGTGTAAAATCAAATCATGGGTATAATTGTCATTATGAAAAATATGTTCAAACAATAAAAAAAATGAAAAATAAAAAAAATTTTTTTATTTTTGCCCAAAATTTTGGTCGCCGGAATCCGGCCACTGGTTGTAGGAAACAGGTCGTCGGTCACCGGAATATGCTTTTTATCGCCGGAATATGCTTACCGGCGTTGGAATCTAGTCATCGGGGCCAAAATATGCCTATCGGCATCGGAATCTGCTCACTGACGGTCATCGGAGTTTGGAAAACGGTTTTCGTTGATCGGTCAACGACCACTGGATGTTATGGTCTGCATTGTGAGATTTATGGTTTGGTTTCTCATATTTTTGTATGCCTTTTGTGGTTTGCTTTATCGTTTTTGTTCTTTGCATTAAAAAGTTTCTAGTTTGCTTTCAAAAATTTTGTGGTTTGCATTGTGAGGTTTCTGATTTGTTTGAATATATTTGTTGTTTGCATTGTGAGGTTTCTGATTTGTTTGAATATATTTGTGGTTTGCATTAGAAGGTTTATGGTTTGCTTTTGTGGTTTTTTTACCGTGCTTGTGGTTTGCATTAGGAGGTTTATGGTGTGCTTTCGCAAATGTTGTGGTTTGCTTTGTGAGGTTTGTGGTTTGTTTTAGGAGATTTGTGGTATGCATTAGGAGGTTTCTGGTTTGCATTAAGAAGTTTCTAGTGTGCTTTCAAAACTTTTGTGGTTTGCTTTGCGGGGTTCTGGTTTGTTTTAATATATTTGTGGTCTGCATTAGGACGATTTTGGTATGCTTTGTGTGTTTTGCTTTATCGTGTTTGTGGTTTGCATTAGGGGGGTTTTGGTGTGCTTTTCAAAATATTTATGGTTTGCTTTGTGAGGTTTCTGATATGTTTTAGCGAATTGTGGTTTGAATTAGGAGGTTTACGATATGTTTTTTGTAGGTTGTTTTATTGCGTTTGAGGTTTACTAAATCGGTACAACGATATAAACTGGTTTGACAACGTGTCCTTTTTTTTAACAAAAGAAGTTTGACAAAGTGTCAAACTCCATTTCTGTGTTAATTTTGGTTATGACTCCCACCATGCTAGCTGTCACTCAGCAACCCACTACATAAATAAGGAGTGCAACACGTTAATTAATGAATCGTCCATTCCTCATAACAAACGAGAGGAGAGAGAATGAGAAAGAAAGAATTAGGGCTTGTTCGTATTTCCAAATTTTTTATTGCCGCACACCTCCTTCCTTCTTTCCTTTTCCCCGGCTTTCCCTGTCGTCGTGCTTGCTGCGTAATCTCTCTCTCTCTCTGTGTGTCCAAAGAGGGAATGTGGTGGGGAAGCCATGTCCATGTCCAAGCATTCCAGCAACGAGAGCTCCATGCACTGCCACTTATTGAGGCTCGACGCGACAGTGTCCGGCACCTCGACGCGTGCATCTCGATCCACGGTTGATGTTGCCACGGCACAGACTCATCGTCGAAGAACACGATCGATATCTCCACCAGCTTATCCCTCGACACCACGACGACGACGACCTCCGCCACCGCGGCCTCGAACTCGCAGTCGGCCAGCTCCAGCTTCTACAGGTTCGGGATCGACGCGAACGACTCGTGCTTGTTTTTGAAGCACGGAGGCGGTTGCCAGATGACGCAGCGGCTGATGCGGAGTGATGTTAGGGTCGGGTGTTGGAAATATATATTCCACGTGATGTGGGCTGTGGTTTATGGATAATTGTATTAGTTATTTGTTAAAGTGGTCAAATTATGGAGCCCAAGACTACTCAATATCTTATATGGGCCCAATGAGTGGAAACCAGATACTAAACCTAATTAGGGTTTTATGGGAACCCTAGCTAAACATAGTATATAAAGAACCTAGAGGTTGTGGTCCCCAACATACCAAGACCGAAAATACACACATATTATCCCCATTAGGAATACGTGAGGTTTCCCGTGAGTGGACTAAGGAGGCTTGGTTGAGGAAGGCCACTAAACTTCCCGGATCGTGCTTCTGAGGTATCGTCCGGTTAAAGATCGTTCTACAGATTCCGCATCAAGCTCACGACGATCTACCATCATGAATCTAGGTATTTAGATCTATTCGCCTTTGATAATCTGACAAGATGTATTCTGGGGAATTACATAGGCTAAACTTTAATTCTAACAAGTGGTATCAGAGCCATTCATCTTTGTTTGATTATTGAGGTTTTGGGTGTACTGGTTCTATATTTCTACCTTGTGATTCATTTGGCATGCTTTTGTTCTATACATGGTATTTTGTTTTATTTACTACTCGTGTAATTTCTTGTTCATATAAATTAAATTATATGAATTATGAGTCGAAAGGGATTTTTCGGTTTCATTTTTTTCATCTGTTGCATCCCAAATAAAAGTGCATTCGCTGTTATGGTAAAGGATTTCATGATGAACCGCATCAATCATGTGCTTTTTTTTGTTTTAGTGTAATTTTTCCCCGTAGCTGATAACAAGGGGTCTATTCTTGTTAGATCCACCAAGAATGGAAAATTATGGTATTGGCATATCTTGTGAGTGAAAACTTAAAAGGATCCATTCTCTTCCGATATTTTAAATTGATTTGATTCTTTACGTTATGTTGCCAAAGTAACCTCTAGTGTGAAAATTGATCAAATTAAATTACTTGGATGTATAGTGTGTGGTTGTTTATGCGGATAGTGTTCGGCCCAAAGGTAGATACTATTTGGCTAAATGATGATGCACCTTAATGATAAATACGTGATGATTGTAAAGTTTATTTTCATGTGAATGATAGTTGGTCCAAAGATAAACTATTATTTGACAGAACTCATTATCAGTATTTGATCATTTTAGTAAGAGTACCGCTTGCAGTTAATTTCTCTGTCCAAAGACTAAGAGTTAATGTTGCATTTGGTATCTTAAGATGGGTTTCAGAAATAAAACTTAAATGTCTGAATTTTTCTTCTCATGTATTTTGTTTGACATGAGTGCATGTTTTCTTGTTTCTTTACAGTGTCTTTAGCTTCTGCTTCCAATGTTTCTGCTCAAATTAGCAATATTCCACTATTGAATGGGACAAACTTTAAGATCTGGAAAGAAACCGTAGAAATTGTTCTCGGTTGTATGGATTTGGATCTTGCACTACGGTTGGAGCGTCCTGTTTCTACTCCGGATAACCTTAACGAGGTTAAAATAGAAAAGTGGGATCGCTCTAATCGTATGTGTATGATGATCATGAAGCGCTCTATTCCAGAAGCGTTTCGGGGCTCTATGACTGAGAATGAGAGCGCTAAGGGGTTCCTTGAGGAAATTGAGCAATACTTTGCCAAGAATGAAAAATCAGAGGCGAGTAATCTTCTGTCTAAGCTCGTTTCCATGAAGTATAAAGGCAAGGGGAACATAAGGGAGTACATTATGGAGATGTCTAATCTCGCATCAAAACTCAAGTCGCTAAAGTTAGAGTTGTCTGAAGATTTGCTCGTACACTTGGTTTTGATCTCTCTCCCTGTACACTTTGGGCAATTCAAAGTGAGCTATAACACTCAGAAAGACAAGTGGTCTCTCAATGAGCTTATATCTCACTGTGTGCAAGAGGAAGAGAGGCAAGCGCGGGATAGGACTGAGAGTGCTCACTTAGCATCAAGTTCTCAAAACAAAATCAAGAAGAGAGCTAGGGATGTTGCATAAAAGTCTTCTCAGCAAAAGAAACCAAAGATGCAAACTGAAGGGTTTCCTTGCTACTTCTGTTAGAAGACTGGGCACATGAAGAAGGAGTGTCCCAAGTATGCCATTTGGCGTGAAAAGAAGGGTGAGCTTCTTACTTTAGTTTGTTCTGAAGTTAATTTAGCTTTTGTGCCTATGGATACTTGGTGGGTGGATTCTGGTGCTACCACTCACATAAGTGTATCTTTTCAGGGCTGTCTGTGGAGCCGGCCACCAAGTAAGAACGAAAAGTTCATCTATGTGGGGGACGGCAATAAAGTTGCAGTGGAGGCTATCAGAACTTTTAGATTACAATTAAAGACTGGATGTCATTTGGATTTGTTTGAGACTTTTGTGGTGCCGTCATTTAGACGGAATTTAATTTCGGTTCCATGTTTGGACAAATCAGGTTATTCTTGTTCATTTGGAGATAATAAATTTAGTCTCTCACAAAATTCAATTTTGATTGGTACCGGTCCATTGATTGATAATCTATACATGCTTGATGTGATTAGTTCCCATAATGAAATCCTCCAAACAAGTTCACGAGGTACAAAGCGAAAATTTAATGAGAATTCTGCTACTTTATGGCACAAGCGCTTAGAGGCTTGTGTCTGATGGAATTCTTGAACCCTTAGATTTAGCAGATTTTTAAGTCTGCATTGAGTGCATTAAGGGTAAGAGAACAAACATTAAGAAATTGGGTGCCAATAGAGCTCAAGACGTCTTAGAACTCATTCATACTGATATATGTGGTCCATTCCCTACAGCATCTTGGAACGGTCACAAATATTTTATCACGTTCATAGACGATTACTCTAGATTGGTTACCTCTTTCTGATAAATGAGAAGTCACAATCCTTGGATGTTTTCAAGTCTTTTAAGGCTGAAGTTGAACTTCAACTTGGAAAGAAAATTAAGGCTGTCAGATCGGACCGTGGTGGAGAATACTATGGTCGATATGATGGATCCGGAGAACAACGTCCAGGACCCTTCGCGCTTTACCTCAAAGAGTGTGGGATTGTGCCTCAATACACCATGCCAGGAACACCTAGCATGAATGGCGTTGCAGAAAGGCGCAATCGTACTCTTAAAGACATGGTAAGAAGTATGCTTAGTCATTCTTCCTTACTGGAGTCACTTTGGGGGGAAGCTCTAAAGACTGCTGTATACATCCTTAATAGGGTACCAAGCAAAGTAGTAACTAAAACCCCTTATGAGCTATGGACAGGCAAAAAGCCTAGCATTAGGCACTTGCACATTTGGGGTTGTCCAGCTGAGGCAAGGCCTTATAAGCCACATGAAGGAAAGCTAGACTCAAAGACTGTAAGTTTCTACTTTGTTGGTTATCCGCAGTACTCTCGAGACTACAAATTTTACAATCCCACCTCACGATCATTCTTTGAAACGGGAAATGCGAGATTCCTTGAGGATATTGAGTTTTGTGGGGAAGGAAACATAAGGAATGTTGTCTTTGAGGAAGAACAAGTCATTGATAGTGATTAGATTATCATACCTATCACTAGTCCTGACATAGTTATGGAACAAGACAACAATGAAATTCCTCCTCCTATACCACCAGTGGAACAAAATCAACATCCTCAAGAAGTGCCACTTAGGAGATCCACTAGAGAAAGAAGAAGTACGATTCCGGATGATTATGTCGTCTTTCTTCAAGAACATGAGGATGGCATAGGCTTAATGGAGGATGATCCTATCAACCTCGCTCAAGCCATGCGCAGTTCTAACTCTGAACAGTGGAATAGTGGCATGAAAGAAGAGATGAAGTCCATGTATGACAATGACGTTTGGGATGTCGTTGAATGCCCTGAAGGAGTAATTCCGGTTGGTAATAAATGGATATTTAAAACCAAAAGGGACTCTAAGGGTAAGATTGAGAGATTTAGATCACGTCTAGTCGCTCAGGGCTTTACTCAAAAGGAAGGCATTGACTACAAAGAGACTTTCTCTCCAGTGTCTGCGAAAGACTCTTTTAGGACAATAATGGCACTAGTGGCTCATTTTGATTTGGAGCTCCATCAGATGGACGGAAGACTGCGTTTCTCAATGGAGACATTGATGAGACGATTTATATGGTTCAGCCACAAAACTTTGTTGTGGGAGATCCAAAGAAAATGGTCTGTAAACTTAAGAAGTCCATCTATGGTCTCAAACAAGCTTCCCGTCAATGGTATCACAAATTTCACAAAGTTATTAGCTCATATGGTTTTGAGACTAATCTTGTTGATGATTGTGTATATCACAAGTTCAGTGGGAGTAAATTTATTTTCCTGGTGTTATATGTTGATGACATTCTACTCGCCAGTAGTGATATAGGCTTACTGCACGAAACCAAGAAATTCCTAACAAAGAATTTGGAAATGAAAGATCTTGGTGATGCCTCTTTTGTATTGGGTATTGAGATACTGAGAGATCGCTCTCGAGGTATTCTCAAATTATCACAAAAGAGCTATATCGATAATGTTTTGAGTAGATTCAACATGAAAGATTGTAACCCAGCGAATACACCAGTAGCCAAAGGAGACAAGTTCAGTCTCGCTCAATGCCCTACATACAATCTAGAAAGAGCGGAAATGCAGAAGATTCCTTATTCATCTGCAATAGGGAGTCTTATGTATGCTCAAGTTTGTACTCGTCCCGATATAGCTTTCATAGTGGGAGTACTGGGCAGATACTCAAAGGATCCAGGTATGGATCATTGAAAGGCAGTCAAGCGTGTGATGCGCTATCTAAAGAGAACAAGGGATTACATGCTTACTTATCAGAGATCAGATAGTCTGGAGGTCATTGGGTATTCTGACTCTGATTTTGCTGGATGCCAAGATAGCATGCGCTCTACATTTGGCTATATCTTCATGTTGGCTGGAGGGGCTATTTCTTGGAGGTCTGCTAAGCAGCGTCTTATAGCTCCTTCCACCATGGCAGCAGAGTTTATAGCTTGTTATGAGGCATCTGATCATGGATTGTGGCTGCGAAATTTTGTCACGGGGCTGCGTGTGGTAAACAACATTGAGAGGCCATTGAAGATTTATTGTGACAATAATGCAGCAGTGTTGTACTCTAATAACAACGGGAGTTCGACAAAGTCAAAGTTTATCGATATCAAGTACCTGGTTGTTAAGGAGAGGGTTCAAAATGGACAGATTTCTATAGAACATATTAGGACAGAGTCTATGCTAGCTGATCCATTAACCAAAGGATTACCGCCTACTGCATTTTATGAGCACACTGCTCATATGGGCGTTATTCTGGATGATACCTTGGTTTAGTGAGAGTCATTTCGATTTGTTCTATAGACATTGATTTGTGACTCTGCAGAATAAAGTGATTTTTGTTTTTCTTCAGTTTCTGTTTTGAACCTTAAGGTGTTTATTCATATTATGCAATTTTCTTGCATGAAGTGCTTTTTGATCTCACTAAAGTTGGACCAGTTGAAAATAGGCATGTTCAAGATCACATTACATGTAATTTTCATGCCACTCATCCATATTTGATCTATGTCATTGAGTGTATAAATGTGGTGATCATGGTAGTTTAATCATTATCATATCATGATTGAAGCCACGTTGGTTCCACTGCTATACATGAGATGGACAAGATTGTTAAGGAATAGTCATTGTACAAATAACATTCGGATGCGCGCCTAAGGAACTTTGTGATATAATTATTTGCATAAACGATGCATCCCAAGTGGGAGATTGTTGGAAATATATGTTCCACGTGATGTGGGCTGTGGTTTATGGATAATTGTATTAGTTATTTGTTAAAGTGGGCTAATTATAAGTGGTCAAATTATGGAGCCCAAGGCTACTCAATATCTTATATGGGCCCAATGAGTGGAAACCAAATACTAAACCTAATTAGGGTTTTATGGGAACCCTAGCTAAACATAGTATATAAAGAACCTAGAGGTTGTGGTCCCCAACATACCAAGACCAAAAATACACACATATTCTCCCCATCAGGAATACGTGAGGTTTCCCGTGAGTGGACTAAGGAGGCTTGGTTGAGGAAGGCCACTAAACTTCCCAGATCGTGCTTCTAAGGTATCGTCCGGTTAAAGATCGTTCTACAGATTCCGCATCAAGCTCACGACGATCTACCATCATGAATCCAGGTATTTAGATCTATTCGCCTTTGATAATCTGACAAGATGTATTCTGGGGAATTACATAGGCTAAAGTTTAATTCTAACATCGGGAGGTTCTAGTAATTGGAGATGAGCCTGTGGAGGTGTTTCCTTGCGAAACCAAATACCACCGTCAGTGCCGAATTTGTTTCCGGCGATGTTGATTTTAATGCTTCGTGGTGGAAACTCTTGCGGTGCCGTTTGATCAGATGCACAACTGATTGTTGAAATCGACGAGACCGTCAAATATCCACCGGGCGGTGTTGATTTGATCTGTGCAACTGACTTCTGAAAATGATGTCGTTCGTCAAATATCCACCGCCGTGCGATGTTGATTTGATCGATGCACCTCTGAATGGTGAAATCAACGTGACCGTCAAATATCCACCGCCGGGCGATGTTGATTTGATCGATGCACCTCTGACTTCTAACCAACGCGACCGTTACTGCGGTTTGCACCTCTCCAAACTACGTTCGAACGAGGGTGTTTGAGTTTTTTGGGCAATCTACGTTAAAACTACTCCTATGGAGATTCCTGTGGAGAGCACCGCGACTACGACTACTGCTACAACTATGGAGATCCTTCCTGGAAGGAGTTACAGTGAAAAAAGGTAAAGTTTGACAGATGTTTTTCTGTGTTGTTTTTGGTTGTCCTTTTCTCTCTCCTTGCTCCATTGCTTTTATTCCAAAAACATCTTCGTAGTCTTCACGCTCGGTGAAACCGCTTCCTCAACTGCTCCGTTGTGAACTCCCACGTGTCTCAACCATCTTGATCTACTCCTCGCTCTGGTAGGCGCGAATCTCACGTGATGTCGTTTTATTCCTCAAACAGCTCTGTCTACTTTTTTTCTCCGCGACATTGTTTTATATTAAACACTGTCGTTTTATACTCCGCGGTGTTGTTTTCTCATGCGACGGCGTTTTTAGTCAAACGACACCGTCTAAAATAATCATTAAACAAATTAATTAATTAAACCGGCTCATTATTGCCACACGGTCAAATTCTCATCCCTTGGCGCCGTTTAATCTTTCCGCGGCATCGCTTTTCACTGATCGATGCCGACCTTGAACTGCTCTGTCCTGGTCCTATCAAACAATGTAGTTTTTCATTCCGCAACATTGTTCTCTACCAAGCGGTACCGTTTTTCTCGTCTTGCGGTGCCGTTGGGCTTGCCGGGCCGCCCTCGCCAAAATCCAACCCGCTGTGGTATAGTTTTTAACTAAACGACATCGCTTACCAAGACCTCTTGCGATATCGTTTTCTAATCCGCGGTGTCGTTGGGTTTACTGGCAGTATCGTTTTTAACTAAACAACACCACTTGGTTCTACCCGCGACATTGCTTGTCACTAAACGGTGTTGTTTTTTATCCTTCTCCGACAAGGAATAAAAAGCACTCCTTTTCCAACCCCAACACCAACAATCAAAGCCGCTAACGACATTGTTTTCTACTTAAATAATGTCGTTTCAAGTACCGCGACATCGTTGGGCCTACTCGCGGTACCGATTTTAGATCCGCGGTACCGTTTTAATTCTCCGCGATGCCGCTTGTCTCCATACGGTATCGCTTCTCCCCTTCCGACAAGGAATACAAATAATAATTAATTAAAAAACTCCTTTTCCAACACCACTACTAAATGCACGGCCGACATCTTATTTTTCGATAAACAGTGTCGTTTCCAGTGTCGCGATACCGCTGAGCTTCCTTGCGGTACCGTTTTTTGTTTCACGATGCCGCTTGTCCCTCAATGATGTCGTTTTTTATTATGCGGCATCGAATTAAATGCCGAGACTCATTATTACGGCATTGAATTTAGGCCAAAAATATTTTAGGTGTAAACAATGCCCCCCACAACTTAGTTTATAAGAAGTAGTTCTTATGAACTAAGTTGTTGACACAATTACTCCACCGAAAATAATTCTCAAACCATACGGGCCAAATCATACAACAACATTGCATTGTTCAACTAGCCTTGCAACGTCAATGGCCCAAACCAACGTTGATTCAACAAATCAATTTTGGTTGGTTCGCACCATTTTCTATTCAAAAAATTTACCCATGCTTGTGTATTCGCACTGCTTTTTTTCTTTTCCTTTCTTTTTAAATTTTGGCCAACTTGGAAAATCCTAGACAATGTTGGATCCTACTGCAACCTTGTTTTCTAATGCAATGCTGGCAAAAAATTCCTCACTTTTTCATTCGACCAGATTTGGCTGTGCTGCCATTTACGGTTTACCCCAACACCATGGCGAGTTATTATGCTTTTTTTTACTGTCCCGCTTTTCTCTACAACGTTGCTATTGCAACAACATTGTTTTGGAGAAAAGAAAAAATAATAAAATTAAAACAATGTTGTTCGATCTCGGCCAATGCTGTGGCCGGAGCAATTTAACATGCCTGCAACGATGCTAAACCTTCACATTGCAACGCTGCGGAGTATTTTTATTTATTTATTTATGTATAACTCTGCACTGCTTGCAGTTCTGTTTTGACCAAACTTTCTCTCTTTTCCGCAGCATTGTTATTGGCCCTTTTCCAAAGAGAAAACAAGATCGCTTTTGGCCAAACTTCTAGCCGCTTAAATATTTTTTTTTTTTGCCCACAACTTCTTTACAGCAGCAACGTTATGGTCAAACACTTTTTATTATTATTGATATTTTTTGCTCTGGCCAAACTTTTAATAGCCTTATTTGTGACTGCCGCAAGACAGATTTGCATCACTGCATCCTTTCTCCTAGGAGTGGGCATCGAATTAAATGCCAAGACTCATTATTACGGCATTGAATTTAGGCCAAAAATATTTTAGGTGTAAACAGGAGGTCGCAGCGGAGGAGGGAGAGTGAGAGATTTTGGACGGACGCGCAGAGGGAGGCGAGGTGCGGGGAGACCAACGATGGTCGTTGCTGAGAAGATGAGTGGAAGTCGGAGCAACCTGAGTAGATTTGTAGTTGTTTCCGGCAACGGAGCTGAAGAAGGATATCGCCGGCGTCTGCATAAATCGGAAGGAGAGGGATGGAAGGAGATGCGACTGGCGGAGAAGATAGATCTGGTCGGTAGAAGGGAAGATCAGATAGATAGGCGATAAGAAATCTCTATTTATTTTAATTTTGATTTTTTTATTAGTTTACCCTTTTACCCTTAATGAATCTTGTTGTTACTATAACAACATCAAGAGTGTTGTTATTCTATCCGCACCAGTTTGGGGGTATTTATGGTTGACCAAGTAAGCTTTAACACTATGTTTCCGAAGGAAGGGAGGAAAAGGAGGGTAGGTGAAGGAAAATTAGGAGGGGAGGGGAGATTTGGAGGTGAAGGACATTGGAAGGAAAATGTTGTTTTATGGAGAAAAGTAGGAAGGAAAGTGTGTTTTGGGAAGTGTGATGAATATGTTATTATTAGTTATGTAATAGAAAATAGAGAATTTGTTTATTTAAAAACAGTGATTTAACCACATCAATAATTTAAAAATAGAGACTTTATAATAATTGATCAAGGATTCTAAATCAATTAAAAATCATTCAACTTATATTATACAATGTTTAAAAAACACAACCGTACTAGCAGTCGAACCGCAAAAATTGAACATATGACCCAAAACAGTAGGTGATTTTAACGGTAGAAAATGATTGAACTATAGTTACACCATGATTTTAGTATAAAATATCCTACTTTCCTGTATAACCTCCGCCACGATTTCGTATTCCTTGATATTACACTCAAATCTCTCAACACCCAATTAATAAAAAATCTACTTAAGTATTAATTTAAACAATGGAGACCATAAAAAACCTACTTAATCTAAATTTAAGTAACTAGTTCGCGGAGCGAGAGCGTCTATTTTCAAAAGCTCAATATTAAGAGCGTGAACAAAGGTTATTCGGTAAAAAAAACTATAAGAAAAACATCTATTACACACCAAAAAAAACATATATTAAAAAGATGTTGAGTAAATTAACATAGCCAATTAATTGGACATTTTCTGGAAAGACGTTCCAATTTCATGACTTGGGAATTTGGAGTGGGACTCCAATTAATTGTGATAATTGCATTAATATAGATAATGGGGTCCTCCTCTTCTCTCCAAGCAACTACCAAACTCTTCCTTTGCATCTCCTTCTTTCCAAGTGACGACCAAACTCTTCCTCTGCATCTTATTTTCTCTTCAATTGACGATCAAACTCTTCCTCTGCATCAATCGGCCTTTTCCCTGCCTTCAATTCCCCAGTGAGAGAATCGATAGATCAAGGAGGAGAAAGGAGAGGCATATACTGCTTCGCCAAGAGAGAAATAACAGAAACGGCGTCGACATTCATGGGTGACGATACTGCTCCTTTCTTAAGCTATGAGGATTCATCTTCGAAGCAACCTTGTGATTCCCGATTTGAAGTCAATTCCTATAGATCTATGAGGATTCATCTTGGATTTGCGGTTGTTGTGTAATTTGTTGTTGCATGCGTGGTCTGCCTTTGGAAAGACGAAGATCGAGAACAGAGTAGCGTCGATGGAGGGTGATGAGGCCTAAGTGTTAGTGAAATCCATTGTTTCAGTTTTAGATTTGGGTTTGCATTTGTGCAGAATGAAGAAGAAGATGGGGAAGAGAGAGGAGAGAGGAGGAAGTTGTCAAATAAAAAAAAGGAATAAATGAGAAATTGGTGTTTTCTCTCCGATTTGGGAGGTTGGGTTCAACAGTGACCCATCCCTCTCTTTTCCTTCACCTACGTACTGTGCAAAGTTTCAGAAACGGTGGAAAGTTTCTCGAAAATCCCACTGTCCCCCCTATTCTTTCCTTTCCTTCGTTTTCCGCTCTAAAAAAACAGAGTGTAAATGTGGGTTCGATTCCCCCTGGATGCTATTCTTTATTTTATATTGAAATTTAATTTACCCTTTTAATATCCTTTTCAATTGTTTTAGTTGTTTTTCGTGTTACACTCTTAGTGTTCCCTCCTCCCCACGCTCCTCTCTCGTTGAGTTATCAATTTCCAGATCTACTTTTTGATTTCCAGTTCTGATTTTTATACCACTGCATTTGAACTCATATATGATATTTGTACCAGTTCATTGGTAGCGATACCATTGTACTAGTAGCGCTATCAGTGTACTAGTACAAATCACTTATATGAGTTTAAATTGCAATAGGACAAATATCAGTGCAGTGGTACAATATATAAGTGCAATGATATATTTTCTGAATGTAGTGCTACATTTTTGCAGGTGCCCGGTGAGAGTCTGCCGGCGGGATTTGCACCAGAGAAGTGTGGCAGTAGGAGGCTGCTGAAAAAGGAAGGATCAGAAATAGGGAGAGAGAATTCTATTTTGTGTAGGTTTAGATTTAAAAAAAGAAAGTATTTAATATGTGTATTTAATTCTTAATTTGTATTTAATAAAATTATTAAATTTTACAAGTTTCATTTAATACCAGGTGGGGTGTCATTTTTCAACCCCTTAAGGGGGTTAGCAAGCTAACCGCTCCCGCCATGTGCAACAAAATTTCGGCCGATCTCGACTATGGAAATGATACACTATATATGTGAATCAATCTCGCTACGGTGCACATAACACATTTTATGTGCATGTGCTCAGAGTTTTTCTATAGGTCCACATCATCCAAACTAAAAATGAGTGGTCAGAATTCATTGGCTTGAATGTTAGCTCAAATTAGAGATGAGCCACAAAACTGGAGCCAGATAAGTTGAGTAAAAGTGTCAAGGGACCACCAAGTGAGAGATATTGACTTCTCCTCTTCTTCATTTCCTTTTTTTCCCACCTTCTCCGACATTTTTTTTTCTCGAAAAGTGTTCAATCTATCTCAAACTTTTTTCTTCCAAAGTCAAGGGACCACCAAGTGAGAGAGAAAGACTTCTCCCCTTTTTTTTATCTCTCTTACTTTTTCCACCTTCTATCTTTTTTTTTTCTTTTGAAAATGTTCAATTTCTCGCAATCTTCTCCTTTTTCTCCAGTTTATCTCTTCCTCT